GGCCTGCTTCCTGCCAGTCTCTGAGCAAGAGCCTTGGGGGGCTGCAAAGGGTAATTTTTGGGCAGAGGGGAGAAAAGAAAGTCAAAGTTCAGTGTCTCTGGGCCCAGGCCAACCCTGCCTGGGACACTGAAGGCTGCTCTTACTGACTGGTCTGTAGTGAGGGGGGTGTAACCAGTCATGAGGAAGTGGAGCCGTGGTGTGGGAATGAGTGAGGCGATGAGGCCGATGAGGTCGTTGTTCATGTAGCCGGGATAGCGCAGGGTGGTGGTGCTGGCCGACATGATGGTGGACACCTGGGGATGGGGGTGTGCATCATGGGTATTGGCCCATGTGGGACCTCCCTTCCCAGATGGCCTTCTAGCAATGAGGGTTTGTGGTCCAATGGAGTCTAGGATGGGGCTCACCAGCTGGTTGATCTGGGAGAAGGATGGGTTCTGGATGTGGAGGCGGTCTGTGGCTATCCGATTAAGGGCTGTATTGTCCAGCACCACCTGGAAGGGTAGAAGGGAATCACGGCATCTTTTTGAGGAGAAAAGCGTTATAGAAATAAGGTATAGCTCAGCCATTACTAAACTCCAAAACCAGGAAGTAACTTTTTCTAATTTAAAAGGAAAGTATTTTCTTTGTGGCATCATCATGTACTTTTGGACCGTGCAGGACAGTTAACAAATATGTGAGTTCACCTAGGTATTACAGTGCTTGGCTCTAGAGATACCACAGAGAATAAAACAGGCATGGTCTTTGTGTCATTGGGCTTATAGTCCAATGGGACAGGTATTAATTTTTTTTTTTTTGTACTGGGAATTTAACTCAGAGGTGCTTAACCATTAAACCACATCTCCAGCCCTTTTTATTTCTTAATCCCGGGCCCAGAGACACGTCTCTTGCCTTTCTCTTCTCCCCTCTGCCCCCAAAAATTAAGTCTTGCTAAATTGCTCAGGACCTTGCAATTGCTGAGGCTGGCTTTGAAATTGCAGTCCTCCTGCCTCAACCTCCTTGTTACTGGGATTACAGGTGTGCACCACCATGCCTGGCCTAGACAGAAATTAGATATAAAACAACAAGCTGGGGGTGTAGGCACAGTGAGCATGTGCTTATCATGCATAAGGCCCTGGGTTCAATCTTAAGCACCAAAAAACAACATTTGTCTGTTTCATTTATTTAACACCCGAAATATGCACAAAGAAACCTGACCTTTACTGGGGAGTTGCTGAAGCTTTTGCTAATGAAGTGATCCTTGAGTTAAGAGTTCAAACATGAGTAGGAATTGAGTGGGCAAAATAAGAGTAGGTACTCTCACTTTGTTGAGAGCCTTGCTGCCTAAAAGGACTGAAAGCAACCTGGAATTTGGGACCTTACTGCACAATTTGGCCCACATATTGTGACTTTGTTGATCTCTGTTCTCTGTAAGAGCAGGGACTTGGAAATGGCAAGGTGCAGGTGACTGACTGGCCTACAGAGGTAGGCCAACGCTCCCAACTTGCTCTCCTTTGCTCACCACGCAGTCTGCATTCTGGGTCAGCCTCTTAAGTGTGAGGAGTGAGTTGTAGGGCTGGACCACCACGTCACTCATCTCATCCTGACTGGGGAACACTGAGTATGTCTGTACCAGCTTCTTGGGATACCTGGGGGCAAGGAAGAGGGAAAAGGGGAGGGTAGGCAGTGAAGTGGATGAACCCCATGACTACCACTCTCAATCTCCTCTAGGGACAATAATGACCATTCATTTGCCGTTGAGTTCTTATACAAAAGGAGTAAGAGTAGAACTAGCCTCCCCCAAAATCCCAAAATAAGCCATAAGTATCAAACCCTGTAGGCTCCCTCCCCTTCCTTTTAACCTCCTCTTCCCCTAGTTATTGCTTCCAAAGTATTCCCTAGGTGGGTTTGTCCCTATTACTCAAAGCAGAGAGGGTCCTAGCAGACCTAGCAACTCATGAGAAAAAAAGTGAAAACATGAAAATATAGTACCTAAGGAACTAGGGATAATGTTTTCTCAAATACAGGTTTACCTGTCGTTCAGTCGCTCCAGAAGGTAGGAGCCTAGGCCAGAACCCGTACCTCCAGCAATGGAATGGCACAGCACAAAGCCCTGCAAGGGGAGAGGTGGAGAGGCTTCATGCTTGGATCATTCCCTACTTCCAACACACTGTGTCTCAAGGTTTCTTCTGTGTTCATCCAGGGTGAGGCTCCTTGGGAAAGTTTAGAGCCTGAACAGGTTGAATCAATTCCATGCACAAGGAGCTGATGTCACCCAGGTTATGACTTCCTTGAGAACAAGGACTGTATCTTATTTTCTTCAATGTCCCAATATCTGATGCCAACCCTGCTGCCCTAGTTGCTGGGGATCAAACCCAGGGCTTCCCTCAGGCTAGGCAAGTGCTCTACCACTGAACTACATTCCCAGTCCCCAAAATGGTCTTGAATTGTCCCCTTTGTATTAACCTGTTCAGGTCACCGCCTCACCTTTCCCCCAGCCCTCTTCAGTAGGGAGGCCCTCACCTCTAGACTGTCACTTCCATCTGCTTCTCGGTCTATGATATCAAAGATGTCTTCGTGGATTTTCTCACCCTGTGTAGAGACATGGGAAGGGAGGGTCAGGCTGAAGATTCTCTTGTCAATACAAAGAACTCTACTCTGGGACTTTGTTCCCACATGAAAGCAAAGCCTCAGTGTAGTACTTAACCCAGAAAAGCTAGTTTTCAAATGATTTGCACAAAATTTGCATAAACCTTTCCCAGCTTTCTGTCATGTCAGGGTATCCATTTGTCTCTTATTTATTGTCAGTCTAGTCTAGTCAAATTCCCAAGTGGCTTGATCCTGCCTTGCCCCAGGGTGGGAATATCAAGGGTCTCCGGGATGGACACCTGGGAGAATCCCCTGGCCCAGTTGTTGCCAGCTCCTCCTCCATGTTCTGACAGGTAGATGTTCTCCGGGTTATAGAGCTTGGCATATGGAGAGTTGAGGATGGAATGGATCACCCGGGGCTCCAGGTCCAGCAGCACTGCCCGTGGAATGTAATGCTCATCGTCAGCCTGTCATGGAGAATCCAGGAAGGGCTCAATGAGCTAGCGTGAACCAAGTTCTCCCATCTCTGGCTCCACTGACCCTCCCTCCTCAAGCCAGCCGCCCTGGCTACTCTGCCCACCAGGTATCCCAGTACCAGGCCATTGCCCTTCCCTTCAGGCCCCTTGGGCCACTGTGGGCTTGGGCCAAGTCGCTGGGGGCACCTGGTAGAAAAAGACGTCCTTGCGGTCAGTGCCCTCGGTGGCGAACTCCTCCACGATGCCCTCGGGGCTGATACCATGCTCGGCGCACAGCTGTTTCCAGAACTCGAACCCAACTGAGGGAGGGGGGAAGACGCCCGGGTCTGCGAGAGCCATAAGGCCTGAGGAGCCCAGCGTTAGGCTCAGAGGCAGTCACACTCAGAGAGGGTGGACCCAAGACGCCTGGGCCTGGGAGCCATCACAGCTCAGGGCTGGAGGCGCAGTTCTTGGTCTAGGTTATCATGCGAAGTAGGGCAGGGGGTTCATGGAAGGGAAAGAGGGACTGGTGGGTGCCAGATGGGGCAGAACCAGAGACTGTCGGGGCCCGGCGCTCGCTTGCTCACTCTGGTTGCCGCATTGGCCCAGCTGCAGGGTGATGATCTCCCGGGGCATCGCTGTTCAGACGTGGGCGCACCTGCCCTGGCCCGGCGGGAGTCACCGCTGAGACGAATGCCTGGCAGCCTGGCGGGCAGGACGTGGGGAGCGCACGCTCTCCTCGTCTTTTGACGCGGGTACTGTGTCTGCGCGTGTGCAGTGTGGGCCTCTCCTCAGCCGGCGGGCCAAGGAGCCGAACCTGGGCATCATCTTCTCCCCTAGCAGTCGCAGCTGGATTTCGGCACAGGCGCAGACAGAGGCCACGCCTCCTTCTGTCCACCGTTCCGCGCTTGCGCAGCGAGACTTTGGGGGGCCGGGTGGGTCACCGGTTGGGTGTGGAGGAGGGGAAGGGAGGAGCGGCTGGACAGATGCTGCTGTCCGGGAGTATGGAGTTCCCTACCCCCATGTATGCAGATGAACTCTGCCGGCTCTGCTAGGTCGAGGGACTGAATTCAAGACAACTCTCCTATTTTAAATTTCTTTTTCTAATGGTGGTTACAATACTATACACAACATAAAATTCACCATTTTAACCATTTGTAAGTATCCAGTTGTGTGGCCTTAAGTAGATTCACATTGTTCCGTGAACATGATGACGGCCGCACGCATGCCAGGCGAGCGCGCTACCGCTGAGCCACATCCCCAGCCCCTAAAGCTCTGTACTTTCTATTCCCTTCTCCCTGCAGCCCCCGACAATCACCATTCTACTTTCTATGAATTTGATTCCTCTACGTACCTAAAATGAATCATACAGTATTTGTCCTTTTGTATCTGGCTTTTTTCACTTAGCATAATGCTCCAAGATTCCTCCATTTTATAGTTTGCATCAGAATTTCTTTCCTTTTTAAGGCTGAATAATATTCCATTGTAACATTGTATGCATTAATCATATTTTATTTATCCATACCCCAATAAACCCTTGGGTTGCTTTCTACTTTTTCCACATTATGAATGATGCTGCTTTAAATGTGGATGAGCAAATATCTGCTCAACTCTCTACTTTCGGTTCTGTTGGCTGTATACCCAGAAGTAGAATGCTGGATCATATGATAATTCTGATTTTTTGAGGAATTGTCATACTATTTTCCACAGCAGCTGCACAATTTTTGCATTCCCACAGCGATGCAGAAAGGTTCCAGTTTCATCACCCACCAACACTTGCAGCTTTCTGTATTTTTGTTAATAGTCATCCTTATGATTGTGAAGTAGTATCTCATTGTAATTTCTGCTTTATTTTAAGTGACAGAAAAGTTGAAACATACAAGTATGATTTTGTATTTTATTATTTTTTTTGTTTTGAAATTTTATACAAGTATATCAGATATAATATCAGAGAAAGTAGACTGCTTTTTTTTTTTAATCCTCCATTAGGGTTTTTGTGATTTAGCTATGTTTAAACAAGTAGATTTATTTCATTCTTTTCTTTTATGTTACTGGGGATTGAACCCAAGGCACTCTACCACTGAACTATACCCCCAGGCCTTTTTATTTTTGAGACAGGATCTTGGTAAGATGCCCAGGCTGTCCTTGAACTTGCAATTGTCCTGCCTTAGCCTCCTAAGTCACCAGGTTTATAGGTGTGTGCCACCACAGTCAGCCATTCTTTTCTTTTGAATGGGTTTGTGTGTGGCTCTAGGGGTTGAACTTAGGGCCTCATACATGCTAAACATGTGCTTTACCACTGAATTACATCCAGTCCTGCTTCATTCCTTTTAACTGTTTTATAGTATATTATTGGATGAGTGAAACCAATTTATTCTTCTATAAGCAAAGGAATTGTCTGTTAGTGAATGCCTCTACAGGGGATTGTGAGGTTCATCTGTACTAGGCTTTGCACTTTTTCTCCTAGGGGTTCTGATTAGCAATAGACTTCTGACTCCCTATACTCATATCTACATTTGGGTGACAATTTTTTTTTTCAATTTCATGGATCTGGGTGGGATTTCATGGTTGAAATTTCCAGTTATGATCACAAGTAAAACTGATTCACTTTTCTTTTGTTACTGACTGGGGATTCTTCTGTGAATTACCTGTTGATATCCATGGCTCAGGGCTGGGGTGTAGCTCAATGGTAATGCCTGTGTTTCGTAAACCCAAGGCCCTGTATCCAATTATTTGCACCAAAAAACAACAACCACCAAAAAAAAAAAAAACCCCACAAAAGTTCACATAATCTTTGCCCATTTTGGGGGGGGTGGGAGGGTGGGAGTAAGGGTTATTTATTTTAGACATTTTAAGATATTCTACACTTATTTTTATTGTAGTCTATGGTTTGTCTTTACATGTTGCACATTGTGTTTTTCATCATAGACAAGATTTCAATTTTTCCCCCCAGTGCTGGGGATCAAACCTAGGGCCTTGGACATGAAAAGCAAGTGCCCTGCCACCAAGGTATAGCCCCAGCCCATGATTTTAATTTTAATATACGTAAAGTTATCCATCTTTGCCTTTATGTTTTGCACATAAAGCTTCTCTAAAGAGCTCTTCCCTCTCTCAATATTATACAGCTATCCTTCTATGTTTTCTTCCCAAATCTCCATAATAGTTTTGCTTGTTCCCTGTAGGTCTTTAGTTCATCTGGAATTTATTTGGAGGCCTGCTGTGAGATAGGGATCTACTTTATTTTTTCCATATGGATGGCCAATTGTCTCCCAACCAATTATTGAGGAGTCAGTGCAGCCTCCGCCACCCCCAGGAACATTCCATGTCCCTGCTCCAACGTGGGCCGGCTTCTGGCCTCTCTTCTGCGCCCTTGGTCTGTCTGGCTGTCCTTGTCTGGCGAGCTTTCTCTGGGAGACGCTGCAGAACTGGCGAAAGCACTACGGCCAAGAGTCATGCTCAGACAAGGCTTTTTGTTTTCATTTCTTTCTCTTTTTAAAAGAGAACTCGGGCCGCCTTCCAGGCCCTGCTGCTCAGAATTGTCTAGGCTTCTTTAAAAGGCTCTGGCTCTCCCCTTGATCAACCCCTCCCAGGCTTCAGCTTTTTGTCTCCTCTCACCCCACCTGGCCTTTAGGCTCCTCTTCCTGCTCTGGCCAGGAAGATCTGAAGCCTCCCCCAAGAGGACCCTGTGGCGTTGCCTTTTCAGGGAGAGACTTTGAAGTTGAAGGGTGGGGTCAGAGCTCCTTCCTTAGCCTTGAGGCTCCCTTCCCCCATGGAGCTGCTCCCTAAGGGCAGGCTATCTTCAGAGGCTTTGCCAGGATCTCTCCTCTGCCCAGGTGACTTCAGAGATGAGAGTACCCTGGTCTCCTCACCATGGGAGTCTCCTAGGGCTCATTTTACTGCCTGTAAAATAATAAGCTGTAAGCAGTTTATAAAGGCTTGGGAAACACTAGAGTTAAATTTCACCCTTTCTTGTGATTAACAACAGTTCCTTACTCCAACTTCTAGTCTGCCAGAAGTGGGAACATTTTCTGCAAATCCTCATTTATAGGGAAGCAGGTTAGAATGTGTGGACCTATCAGAGTTGGAGACGTTTTAGTGTAAGTTTTCTCCAAGAAGCTCCCTCTGGCAAGCTGGAGGCGCCTCTCCCCACAGCCTCATAGAAATGGGTTGAAAACTGAGAGGGTTATGTGCATTAGCAGAACTGACGGTAAATCCTCCCAATTATTAGCAGGATAAGCTTTCTCCATTTATTCTGAGAACTGACCAATCGATATCAGTTAAATGAGTTGATGTATGAGCACTTAGCATATGTCCGACTCACAGTAAACCCTCAACAAACATTAGCTGCTGTTATTATTGTCACAAGACGCAATTAGAACTAAAGGATAGCTTGGTTGCTGCTACAGATGAAAGATCTTATTTGGGGTAAAAATAAAATGGTTACTTTAAATAAATTTTATTTAAAATCCAGGTATTTATGATCCTACAGACTATTGAGGTTGACCAGAAGTCCCAGGTTCATGGTCCTTTTCATGGGTTTTGGACCCAGAGTCTCAAGCTCATTTACCCATGGCTTGATTGTTGAGTGTTGACTTTAATTTACTTGGCTCCAAGTTTTCTGATCCAGGTTATGATAATGTACTGGAATGTGGTGTTCCTTTGTCTGAGGGCTTGGTCTACCTTTGATAATAAATGTAGCATTTGTAAACTAACAAGTGTATTACATGTCCGGAGGCTTTATTGGACATCTCAGGTTGAATAAAATATGTTTTGGGATGCACCTTAATTTCTGGCCTTTCCCAGACACCTGGCCTGCAATATGTCCGGAGCTCAGGTATCTTGCAGAGGTGAAGAAGTGAAGTTGTTTCTCAGGGATTGGGCGGAACTTGATAAGTGGTGTGCTTATCAAGCAAAAACAGCTAATTAAAGCTGCTGCTAGTTTTGAGACTGGGATCCTGTGACCCAGGGAGTTTAACTTCCAAAATTAAAGGAAAGGAAAAATTAAAACAATGGAGGCAAAGAGCCCAAGTTCTTTATGTAAATGGAGTTGTGCTAAATTCATATTTTAGTTAGGAAGTGAACAAAATAAGCTGGTTTTTTTTTCTGTGCTGTTTTTCAAGGAATGAGGAAAAGGAAATAAGTTGAAAAGTAATCTTGTTTGTGGATCATTTGCTCAGTCTTTTTTTTCTTTTTAATTGATGCATATTAATTATACAGAATGGTGAATTTCATTGTGGCAAGTTCATACACGCTTATAATGTAGTTGACCAAAGTCAGTCCTGTTACCATCCCTTAACCTTCCATCTCTTTCCCCCTCTTTCATTCATTTATTATGCACCTATACTATGTGGACCACACTATTTTGAGCTGGGAAGATAGAGATAACAGACTAAAATTCTCATGATCTCATGTAGGAAATAAACATGCATTAAGGTTAGCACTAAGTGCAGAATAGGGGACTGAACTTGGTGAAGGGGGAAGGACGGTACAAGGAGAGGCCAAAGATTTAGGATATTTTTTGGAGGCAGGGTGCACCTGCCCAGATCTGGAAGGCCTGATAGGAGTTCACCAAGTGTAGAAAACAGAGGAATATACAAATCAACAAGAGGAAAACACTCAGAAATAAGGAGAAAACACTCAGAACAAAAATGGGTAAAGGAAATAAACAGGTCATGATAAATGCAAAAATATATATATAAAGAGGTTCAGTCTCACTCATCAGAAAAATACAAATTTAAGGCAAAAAGATGAACACACATTTAAAAAACTGATAATCTCCAGTGCTAAAGAAGCTACATCTATATACTATTTTTCTTTTTCT